TGATTGGAAAATAAATCATGAAAATTGTTTTATGTTATATAGCTACTAATTATTACTACGAATGCATATAATTTATGGTATTTATCTCATAGATACTAAAATATACTAAATTAAAAAAAWWTTTMCAGAATGTAATGTTGGTAATTAATATAAAATTAAATAAATAGTGTGATACCAGTATATACCTCGTTTTTCCATCTTTCAGTTTGTATTCATCTATCACCTCCCTAAACTGATTAATCATATCATATGTTTCATCTAAATCCATTGTATTGGGATGATAATATTGTTCATAAGTATTTTTTTCTTTCATAGCAAGCTCTTCTGGTTTTCTGATATCGTCAACAAAATTTGGATYCTCGAATAAAAACGGCACAGCATCTACTCTGTACCCATCTACACCAAGATCTAACCAAAACCTTATGTTGTTCTGCTCAAAAACAAAAATGTTTTAGTTAAATTATGAAACATCAGAATTAGGTATTATCTTTGATTTTATTCAAACATAAACTAAAAATGTATGATAGTGTGTATGCTAAAATTAATGATTTCGAAAACTATAATACCTATTTAATAAGATTAAGCAAGYTAAGAAAACTGTAAAATATAATATTGGTAGCTTAAAAACTTACAAGCTATTTATGAACGATTTTGATTTAACTATAAAAAACTACATATTTAAAAACCATGGAAGTCGTCCTATACTATAGCCTTGTTGTTAAGTAGATACTAAAAGGAATATATAGCAGGTGACTGTAGTAAGGTGTTGGTGGGCATTGCTTAAACTAATTATAAAAAGTTAAAGAAAAGTTAGAAATTAGATTTTTTTTTAAATGTTTAACTTAATTAGTTGGAAAATTTTCTAAATAAAATAATAGCAGAACAAGTTCAAGAATCCATTCTAACAACTTTCAGTTAATTTGAAAAATAATTCATTAATTTAAAATCATGTTTCAACATAACTATAAATGTAGTTATAAAAAATAAATAAATAGTTTAATGTAAAACGTTTAAATAAAATGATTTAAAATACAAATAAATAATAATTAAAATGTTATAATTTTATTTAGTTGATATAGACATTGAATTGGAACAAGGCTAATAACAAAAAAAATCACACATACATCATTGTAAAATCGATGGTTCCATTTACCGATCCACTCAGAATCTAATATAAAATTAAGTKTTTATCTGAATATAATAATTTACGTTTGTAGGTGGTATATTGGTATTCATTAAACATAAGACAAATTAATAGTCATAATTATAAAAAGAGTAATGTTTACATATAAATACTTGAAAGACTACATTGCGTAATGAGTTTCTCATACAATATTAACTGAATTTTTATTATAATCCATTATATTATTATAATATTACATAATGTTTAATTATCTGGAAAAGGTTATTATTGTGAGTTATATGGGAAAATCATAAGTAACTTGTATATTTTCTACCTTACACTTAAACTTATGAATAAATATATTTTTATTTTTAAATAAATTTGAATTTTTACTTTTTTTTAAGTATTCAATTCTAAGCAAATTTTTCATTAGTATTATTTTTAAATTATTTATTTTTTAAACTTAAGGAGAGCTCCTAAAGTTTCATGTAACTCTTTTATACAATAAAAATGTTAACTAGATAATTGTTTAAACAGCTAATACTACGTTTTTGAAATCTAATATCATAATACACCACTTCTAACATCCTGTCGCAAGGTGCAAGGAGAGTGGAGTGAACCGAAAMAAGTGTCTACACTAGGTCTCACTATAACGTCAATTTTTTTTTATAAATGTTAGGTTACCAATGAATTAATTTGTCTAACAATTAGACGTTTACAATTAAGTTAATACATTAATCGTTAAATTGATTTGGCTGTCTCTTATTATAATCTCTTTATTAAATTAAATAATTAAATAAATTATACCTATGTAAAACATTAATATACGATCGATCCGAACGCTAAAAATCCAGTTAGGTTATTACTGACATAATAATCATCATCATCTATCACCATTTTTTTTTATGCCTTGGCAAGTTATAGGTTTATTTATCTAAGTGTACTATAGTGTCTATAGTATATTGTATTATAATAGCTATTGCTTTATTTTTTTGTTTTGAAAATGTATCCTTACTTTCATTTCTTTAACCAATTCTTCATTTCTGTAATTTAAATCTGGTTGTTTAGTATCGAATTGATGTAAATAATACTGTCCACGTCTTTCATTCCATGTCCATGCTGAATTACTGAATAAACTTTGCTGAAAAAAAGAGTACATAATAATATTATACATGCATGCAATTTAAAATTAATTTATTATTATACTGATTAAAATAACATATAAGATATAACAATTGAAAAAATAAATATTCAATATGTAGAATTATAGACAATTTTTGTAAACATCACAAATAAAAACAGGCTTAATATTATATTGAATTATTAAAATACTTTACCCAATTATTTGGGGGTATTCTCATATTATTTTCATCATATTTAGCATCTCTCCATACATAATAATCTTTATATGGCATAATTTTTTCCACAGACTTTTTAAACCATTCGTGTTCATCACTTGAATGATTAGGTACAAAATCCAAAATAATTTTAATGCCTAAATTATAAAATTATAGTTATAGCTTTTCCTTACAAATAAAAATACTTTAATAAATATTACTATTTGAGCGCATRCCTTCTGTATTCTRTTTTTAAATTTAARTACAAATTAATTCAAATTTTGACCGTCAGAGTTTTTAAGTAGGTATACTTAAGGACTGTATTTTAAATTATTAAGATTTTTTATGCAATTTAARGAATGTCCAATGGTCATACTAAATTCTGTTTTTCAAAAGCGAATGATTTTTTTTCCAGTATATTAAACTTATTAAATAAATAATTTTGTTTTAAACATTTTGATATACCTAGATRCATCTAGAGAAATTTTYCTGGGGGAGGGGGGGTTATATATTAGATTTGATTTATATTTTTGCAATGACATTTTTAAAGACAATATTATTMTTTGTAAATAATATTATATGTTRTAATAACTCAGAAACCACTCGTTCAAATATTTGAAAAAGATAAATAAAAATTTTCAAAAAAATAATCTACTTCACAGTTTACAGAAACAAAATTTAAGTTCTCATCTAAAAAAATAAGTTTTTTTTTGCATGGAACATTTATTAAACAGTGTGAAAATCTAAATACCTAATTCAAAATATGATTCTAAAAAATTCCAAAAAATATCTTTATTTACCAAAAGATTTCAATTTTTTCTGCAACGAAATAAAATCATCCATTGTGCCATATATRGAATCAATCTTATTGTAATCCGCAATATCGTAACCAAAGTCTGCCATAGGTGATTTAAAAATGGGTGATAACCAAACACAGTCYACTCCTATGTCTTTGAAGTGCTCCGCTTTTTCTTCAATCCCTTTACAATATCGAAAAACACAATAAATCATTAGTGTTGACAGAATAATAACAAAACGTTACCTTTAAGATCTCCTATGCCGTCAYCATTGCTGTCCTTAAATGATCTCGGATAGATTTGGTAATATATCGCAGTTTGCCACCATTCTAAATTTTTATTTTCATCTGTGACGATAGTATTCTTTGCGCTAGCGAAATATTCCGCTACATTTAGTATTAACAAAACCATACTAAAAACAAACACAAATATGTTAATAAAAAAAGATTTAGACGATTTGTTCGCTCGAATGCATCTAACATGTATGTAAGTATTGTTGCTATGATTATGATAAAATGTGGTGAACACTAAGTAAATATAATGATAATATTGTGTCAAAGATATCAAGCTTACCACTCACGACGCATTATAGTTAAGACCCGTGATAAGCTATAAGTACTAACGTTGTATGTCACTCAAACCGATGGCGTAAATATGGTCTTCAATGGAATAGAAATTCAAAATTTTATTGATGTCCACAAAAATTAAAACTATTTACCAGAATAAAACTAATAATGATGTGTATCATGCATCTCTGCTTATAAATACTGTTCATAACTGTTTAWTATCATAATTGTTTACGTCAAATGATATCGCATTTACTTATTTAATCAATGGACTTTGCCCTTTGGATAAAATAATTTATTGTTTACCTGTATATAGTTATATTTACATACGAATATACCACCTATGTAAACACATAGCATTAATTTTACTGAATATACATATATATGGTTAATATTGTGTATAATACTGTCATAACCTGTTCATTTATATAATATTATTCCAACAATGATAATTTTTTCCAATAGAATATTCGATTTACTCAGCATCAGCAGTTTTATTTTTTTTTACTTAATCTTTAAAATGCAACGAATTCATTATTATTATCATAATAAATCAAAATCAAAAGTCAAATCATAAATATAAAATTCAAAATGCGATACATAAACCTTAGCAGCCCATTGTACGATTTATTTGGTATATGAAATTAAAAATATATAATACCTTACATGCATTTTTACTATAACAGGCAACTGTAATAATTAATATAAAATGTAGTAGTAAGTTATACACTTTAAGTAAGTAGCTTCTTTAATAGTAAAATTATACAGTCAAAAAAATTAATCGAATATAAGTCGAAATATATAATTCAAACATAATTACAATAATTCATTTGATAATTTTCCACTTTTTAATTCCGGATTTATTTTTTATATTAACCCAAAAAAACTGTAAGCGGGCTCAATAAATGTTTGAAACCGGGTTTAAATACAATATCATTATTCATTAAGACTGATATTAGTATAAGTGTGTTTACTTGAATAATATGTCTAGCATCAAGAAAGCAAATCATAAAAGAAATTATTGTACCTGATCATTATGTTCATAAGTACTTAGTTGATTTTAAGACTTATTTTTTGTTTAAATATGTTTATACTAACTTGCCATATTTTTACTAATTATTATAAAAGTAAAATAGTCTGTTTTAGATTCTGAACGAAGTGATGAATGTATTGATTTTACAATGATGTGTGTTTTTTTTTTTTTTGTGTCCGTGTACAGTATAACTAGTCGAAATAATGCTTCGATTTCAAATTTTGGGGGTGGTTTCCGATGTAAAAGTGAATATCCTTGGTACATTATACAGGTCAAAACATTTTCCAACAGTTTTAAAAATAATCGAGAAAAACAAAAAAAAATGACAGAAAAACGGAAATTTTTACGCAAAACCAGTTTTCGACCAAATCGATGTTTTTATATGGTTGTAATTCAAAAACTAATCACTGTAAATACTTGA